GTAGAGCCCCTGGGGCAGGCGAGGGTGGCCCTGTTCAGTGGTCAGGGGTGGCGGGGGCAGAGTTCAGGTGACAAGCAGGGGAATGGGGACAGTTCTGGGGACACAGTTAAGGTGAAAGGACATGGTGACAAGGACATGGGGTTAGGGGGACAGTTAAGGTGACAGGAACAGAATTTAAAGTGACAAGCACCAAGTGAAGGGGAATGGGGCAGAGTTAAGGTGACGGGGACACGGGGTTCTGGGGACACACTTAAGGTAACAGCAGACAAAGTTAAGATGACAGGGACAGAATTTAAGGTGACGGGACCAAATAAAAGGGAATGGGGACACAGATAAGGGGAATGCGGGCAGAGGTAAGGTGACAGGGGCCAAGTGAAGGGGATAGGACATGGGGATGGGTGCAGAGTCAAGGTGACAGCGGACAGAGGGTTAAGGGGACAGTTAAGGTGACAGGGGGACACAGACAAGGTGACAGGGGCCACAGTTCCAGTGACCCGAGCACAGGGAGGTGATTCTGGTGCTTGAGCAAAGGCTGCCCCCAGCATTTGGGAGACTCTGGGCCCCCCCTCCAGCAGCACAGGGTAACCCCAGCGACTCAGAACCCCCCATCACACATCAGGGAAACTGAGGCACGGCCCCAGACACCCTGCAGGGCTCCAGCCCCCAGCCTCACGCCACACTCCCGCTGCTCCCAGGTGCACGTCTACGACCCCTACGATGACGATTACTACCAGACGGTGCCCCTCGACTCCCACCAGACCGCCTACATCAGCTCCGGCCACTATGGCCACCAGTACGGAGGTGGGTGGCCCCATCCTGATTCACCCCTCCCCAACGTGTGCTGGACACTTTGCCCCATTACCAGCTTCATCAGGCCGTGGTGAGGAGGGGGGAGTCACAGCTGCCCCCCCTCCTTGGCACACAGATCCCAGTTTGGGGATTGATACCCAGGCTCTGGGAGCTGCTGGGCTGAGACCTGGTAAACTCAATTTCATCTCCACACACTTGGCGGCACCAACCAAAAAAACTGGGGGTCTCCCTCCCACCCTGCTCTAGCAGCACCCCCTTGGGGGAAGCAATGCCTCCCCGTTGGCAGCGGGGGGGTGTCCCCTCGCTCCCCCTGCCCCCGCTCACCCCCCCTTTTCTTTCCCTTGCAGCTCCCGGGGTGACCCACGTCATCGTGCGCGAGGATCCCTACCGCGTCTCGGGGGACCAGATGGCCTTGGGGCTGCTGGCGGGGGCCGCCACCGGTGCTGCCCTGGGCTCCTTCATGTGGATGCCGTGCTGGTTTTAACAGCTCCCCCCCCTTCCTGCAGGAGGTGACCCCCCAAAACCAGGTCACAGCCCCCCAACGTGACCCTCTTGGCCTTCCCAGCTTGGTTTAACTCACTCCTGGCTTGGTACCCACCCTTGCCCCCCCCAAAACCAGCCTCAGCCCCCTGGGGACAGATCCAGCCCCAACCCCACCCCGTATCCTCCTCCCAGCCTGGCTTTGGCATTAAATACCCCCCCACGTGCTTCAGGGACCCCCAAAACCCCACCGTGCCCCATTCCTACCCGCAAAGGGCCTGGAGAGCCACCAGGGACGGTGGCAGAGGGGAGGGTGCAGTGCCCCAGCCCCAAAACCTGGCTCAGTTCCCCACCCCAAATCTCTGCCGGGAGCTGTTTGCAGAAATACTTGGTTTTTTGTAACGAGGGGGAATTATTTTGGGGGGGAGGTGGCTGAATTTTTTTGCAAACCTGGCTGGAAAAAAAAAAAAAAAGCAGCACAGCTGCTTTTGGGGGGCAGGCTCCAGCCCTGGAGTGGGTGCTGACGTAAGAGGGTTGCTCAAGAGACAGGTTAGACTCAAGATTAAGGGGGATAAAAAACCCCTTTGCAGGATTTCTACCCCCTTCCAGCCTTGCACCAGTCCCCTGGGCCTGGCGCAGCTGGAGAACTAGTGGGAAACCCCCTGGGAATTGGGGCTAAATCCCAGGGAATTGGGTTGGGAAGGGCCCTGGGAATATCCCAGCTTCCCCAGCCAAGCGAGAGTCACCGCGGGAGGCCCACGCAGCATCTGGAGTTTCACCCCAATTATTTTTTGGGAGAAGGCAAGGGGTGAAATCATTTTGGGGATCAGGGGCCCATCCTTGGCAGCCAAGCCGGGATCCTGGAAGCAGGAATTCGGGATTGAGAGGGGGGGAAAAAACGGTCCCTTTGGGTGCCCCCGAGGCCAGGGGAGAAGCAGCAGCTCGTGTTTTGGTGCAGGCGGAGAGGGAAATAGCCACACGTCGCCCTCCGAGGCACGATTTTATCCCACCACTGATATTAATCAAATTTAAGAATTACAACCAAAACTCCGAGTTAGACGGAAAGTGACCCCAGTGCCCCGCTCTTGGTGTGAAAACCCCGGATTCAGTTTGTCCCCGTGCCCGATGGGGGATCGGGATGTCCTGAAACACCGTCCTCATCCTCCCCTGCCTCGCTGCTGCTGCACACCCGCTCCCATCAACTGCATCGATTTTTGGAGGAAAAAAAAAAACAAACAAAGCAGCTCTCTGCAGTCTAATAAAGGCAGCAAAAAACAAGACCCAGCCTGCGGGTGAGTGAGGATGAGGAGGGGGTGGCTCATCCTCGCCGCTCTCCAGCTGGGGGGGGCGGTTTGGGTCCCCCTCAAGAGCTGTGTGTGGGTGTCACCGGCTCCCCCTGCACCCCTTTTCCGCACCCCTTTTTCGGCCGGGAACACCAAGGGCAGCTCAAGGGGAGGGAGGAGCTACCGGAAAACTAAACCACCTCAAAACCGGGGCTCGAGCCCTCGAGCAGCACCGGGCACCGCGGGGCCCCCGCTCGCGGCCTCCGAAGGTGGCGCCAGGGCCCTGAGGAGATGCAGGAGGGGAAGAAGCTGCCCCAGAAATCCCCCTCGACGCGGCTCCAGCGCCCCGCTGAAGGACTATGATCACGCAGCTGCCGAGCAGCGCCTTCCTTTGCCCCCCCAAATTCTCCTTGCTCATTTCTTTGCCCCCCTAAATTATCCCAGGTCCTTCATCTGCCCCCCCAAATTGTCCTGGCTCCTTCCTTTGCCCCCCAAAATTGGCCCATGCTCCTTCCTCTGCCCCCCCCAAATTATCCCAGTTCCTTCCTCTGCTCCCCTCAAATTATCCCAGTTCCTTCCCTTGTCCCTCTGAATTATC